TGTACTCATCAGCCCTCAGCTGAGCCATATCTTAGGAAAAGACCATGGCAGAGGAACAATGAAAGTGCCCAGGAAGCCAAAATACAGTAGGAAAAATGACATCAGGAAAGACACGTAAAGTGTCACTCAAAAATGTCAATCAAAATAGAAACTGGCTTGATTCAGAACGCATTTTAATGTTCCAATTTTTCCCTGGTTTAAATTCTTTAAGAAAACTACAGATTTGATTCCATATTAAGCAGATTCGCTGTATGCAAATAAAAGATATGGTTAAAATTCCTATCTTAGCTCAAGTCTCCTGGTTCTAAGGCACTTTTAAAACTAAAAATTTTATAGAGATAATGAAAGATTCACTTAAAGTTGTAACCAATATGACAGGGAAACCCCCTAGTACAAGGGGATTTCAAAAAGATCAGGGAAAAATCCCATTATCTTTCTTTTTTTGTGGGGGGGGGATGACAAAAAAAAAAGCCTATAAATAGTTCAAGGTCTGTTCGTTGACCTTTAGGAGTGTTTTCCGGTCGAGTCTGATGAGGTGCCACACCCTGGCCCCAAACTCCATCAGAACTTTCTTGCTCTGCTCCCCTTGTTGTTCTATTGCATGCCCTTAGTGTTCTGCCTCAATATGGTGGGGTCAGATTGGGCACAATTCTCACACTGTGTCTCCAATGTTGTACCCTGTAGCACTATGGGTCAGTGAGGGATTTCTTGTCTCATAGTAAGGTCTTCTCTATGCATCGGCTGCTCTGAGCGGGGATATTGTCCTCAAGGCTTGGTGGGCCAGCATGTGCTCCACTCCCTCTTCCTCCCCCTTCAATTGCTCCCCTGTGCTCTAATCAGACATGTCCCTCTAGCTAAGCTGTAGCTTCAGTGCTGTCCTCTGAAGTAAATTCTTCTGGGAGGAGAGGCGGCTGTCCACATTATCTTTTAACTCTAGTTTCCCACAAACTTTTTGAAGCACCCTCGTACAATTTGCCTGGCTTCGCCGCAAAGGTTAAGTAATATTTTGCAAAAATACATCGTAAAATCACAGCCAAGCCATTGACACTGATACAAGACTATTATTCAAACTAGGAAGCAAAACTATTTATAAAGGTACAAACATAGATGTTTACATATGTTAACATATTAATGCCTAACAATTGGGGCACTGGCCTATGTGCATATATTTATATGGCAATACAATGAGGCAGTGGATGGACTTTGGACCTCTACTTAAGTTTTCCCTGAATATAAAAACACTTGGTTCTAATAATGTGGAACTGGGGGAGGCGCACTTTCCCGACACAATCATTGAAGACAAACTGGGTACATAAACAAATATGGTGAAAAAAGCAGATGGTGTCCAGCTATTAAAAAATATAGCTGGGGGGGCCGGTCCCAATCTCAACTACTAAGTGGACACATGGCTCTCCCCCGAGAAGAATTTATTTCAAAGGACAGCATTGAATCTACAGCTCCGGGAGTGGAACATATCTCATCAGAGCACACGGGAAGAGATGACGGGGGAGGAGGAGAGAGTGGAGCACATCCTGACCCCCTAGGCCGTGAGGACGATGTTCCCAATTAGAACAGCCAGTCCACAGAGAGGATCACATGGCCGGCCCACTATGAGACATGATGGCCCTCACTGACCCATAGTCCTACAGGGGACAACACTGGAGACACAGAGTGTGAATTGTACCAGATCGGATCCCGCCACACCGAGGCAAAACACTAAGGGGTGCAACAGAACAGCAAGGGAATGGAGGGACCAGGTCCCCAGGGAATGCTGAAGGTGGACTTTGAGGCCAGGGCGTGGTACCCCAACAGACTGGAATGGAAAATACTCCTAAAGGCAAATAAACAATCTTTGAACTAACTACAAGCTTTTCTTTCTTGTGTTTTGCTTTTGTCATTGGTTTGTTGTTGCTGTATTGTTGTATATTGTTGCTTGGTTTTTCTGTGTGTTGTTTTTGTGCATGTTATTATCTCCGAAGGTCTATCTAGGTAGGACAGGCTGGATGAACAATCTGGAGGAGAAAACAACGGGACTGACAGTTGCGGGGGGACATGGGAGAGGGGGAGGTGGGGGGAAAGGAAGTGGTGTTAACAAACCCAGGAACAAGGGAACAACAGATCATCAATAATCGATGGTGAGG